GACCGAAGTCGCGCATCTCAATGCGTGTAAATACCATACAGAAAACGATCAAATCCAGCCACAGTGAATGTACGTCACACGGGTTAGGCACAATAGGCACACTGGACATAAAAAGCCCTCCGTGAGCGCCACCACCTGCCAGAACGCCGTTCCTGCAGACGTGATGTAAGTATAAGGCATCACCACCAATTGCATGATCAGCACGGCCAATTGGCCGCAGAGCGTTCATGAGTCTACCGCTTACCTTATTAAGGGAATGGGGTCACACGTTGCGCGGCTTTCGGCCGCAGCTTTGAGAGCATCCTCAGATTCTCCCTTCAGCTACCACCCGCATGAGGTTTGCTCCATCAACCAATACAATGGCAGATATAGCCAACAGGCAGTTATAAGATAATAGTAATAATTCACCATCAGAAAGGGTTTGTGTTACTGACGTAGAGTATATGCATTTTTCGATCATATTTGTCTCATCCACCAACAAGTTGCCTTCAATATTTCAAAGGTGGGACCTTTATAGAGATATATTATTATGTTGTTATATAAAACATCATGGTGGTCAGACAGTCTGCAGCCCCGCAATGAAGGGACCCGACTTGGGCAATGCTACTTAGGTTGTGAGTCAAACCAAGACGCAGGGAGCGCCATTGAGAATAGCGACCCGCCTAACAACCATCGCAGAGACTCAATGCTGCAGAACGCAACAAGCATCAATACGACTATCGTCGGGCTTACACCATCCCAAGGTCCCCCATACAGTACCAGCAGACTTCACCACCCGCATACCTCCGTCGACCAGAACCATAAGATGCGTCGAATCAGGTGCAGCACACCCGTAGATCCATCACAAGACGCAATACTGCAAGTAGCAGTAAGCATCAATGCAACTATCATACGAATGACGCCCCCTCACAACACACCCATATGATCCCTATCGACTTTGGTAACAAAATTGATAATGTTGTTAACCAAAAATACCACCAACGTATCATAGTAGCACGGTACTAAGACGTCAGTAACCAAAAGTCCACGTATCATAGCGCTATTGCACTAAGACATGGAGTTGAGTATGCTTGCTGCACTTAAAAGTACTACCAAATACACTCACCCTAATCCGGAAGATAGCCGACGTATCATAACGCTATGCGCTATGACGCCGCCCACAACGGTAGGGGTGTGCGATGTCCACGGGCAAGTCGTGTTGCGACAACAAACCCGCTTACCACCGACACTGAGATGATATGTCTAAGATACACATCGGTTAGCGAATCCAAGTTTACCTCGGTCTCGGAGGCTGTGAAACAACCTACACGCCACTATAATAATCCTTTTCAAGTCCCATTTCTTCCAATATAACGCTTTTGCATATTTTAGACCTTCCAGATATTCGCTTTATTTTTGAACTTTATTCTTAATATTGCATTTTATATGTTAAAAATATAATTTTATGACATTTTTAAATGTCCTTATAATGAATTTAATTATTATTTATTAATAATAATTATGAAGCGTCACAATAGCAACTATGGGATATATTTCCTCTATGACGCAATCTAGGGGAGGCCTATGTTCCGCAGTGGAGTCTGATAGGCTGTTATTATTGAGGTACTTTTATATAGTATTACAATTCCTCGCTACTTTAATAAGTGAATGCGCACAACTTCTATAGGAGGAATACGGCTCAAGTATTAGGGGCCTTTAAGAAAAGAGCCTACTCGTTTTTGTCGGCAATGCACCTGCAATTCCACTGGTGTTGCAGATGTGGCCAGTTATGTCCGTCAGGTGAGCTATATTTTTATTTGCCTCCTATTTCTATAAAAAAAAGGCTGTCATTATTTTCATCATAACAATTTCTAGTTTAATTTTGACGATGGGTTTTTATTACAATAAAGTAATTATTTTACGGCGACGGCACTCGGTTGATTAGTTTTGTTTGATTAAATATTTATAATTTCAAGTACATTAACATCCTTTACTGTAAGTGAGCAATTCTTGTGTGTACATGTATTCTAGCTATCCCGGTGGACGTTGTTATCCCCTTTCCGATTGGTACCATGATGTTTCACTTCAAATTCACTCTAGAGTTTTCAGTACAAATGTAAAATTTGTTAATTAACTTTGTCTGGGTAGGATCTACTAATCTCGAGTTGTTTAAATCATCTATTTTCAGATAATTAGTCAAATATTAAACCATAGGGGGCGTATATATGCAAAACTAAGATTTTCTGTTTGTAATGCCATTCTTACTGGAACCCTTTTTACTGGAAACGAGGCATTCCATCTTAGTCCTCACGAGTGACAACACATCTGCATTTTGATTCGTAATCGAAGATAGATGTAGATGTCTATGGGCCACAACATCCACTCAGGTGGACTGTGTGCTCGGCTATCACTCTAATCCTATAAAAATAGTAGACGTAAGAGCAATATTATTGCTTATTGGGGCAGATTTGACGTGCCATAAAGAGGTATGCGCATACGTCTTTATGGCACGTCAAAACTGCCGCCAATATCCACATAATTCTGAGCATATCATTTAGTCATCACAGCAGATGTATGTACATACGTCTATATATTTTTGTATTACTGTCTCAAGATTTCGTTAGAACGGGGATCATGTCAACAACACCCAATATATACACAGAGTCAGCTATTAAAACAACAAAGTATCAGAAAATTTAAGATGTCCCTCAATTAACAAGTTTAAAGAATTTATTATATACAAACTGTAGAAAATTGGTTATTATAATAAAAATGAATACATGGTTGATAATTACCCCTGGGAATGAAGTATGAATGAAGTGATCGCTTCCAAGGTGTTTCTTGAATAAGTTTTGTACAACTTAAGTACATATTTATGATATATTTTGAAAAAAAAAGTATCTGTCATTTATCATCTATCAATTTATCAAAGATTAGCTTGGACAGATAGACAGATAGGCAGACAATAACATCTTAAAAATAACTATTCATGTCTTAATGAAATACAAATTACCCCATTAACTCAATGAAAAGCAGTTATTTTACATACACACAATTCAATTGTACTTGTATATAGATTCACCACAGCGCCTTCGGGTTTCAATGTTTTTGTGAAACAAGTTTAGGCACACACCATAGTATATTATGAATACGTCATTTCGGTCCATAAATATAGAATTTTTAAATAAATTGACTGCACCACCACTTTTCAGATCCTAGCATAGCTATAAAACATCATCTCAAAAAGTCTAATATATTTTGTTAATATGATAGTCAATCGGTCAAATCGTTCAGAAGTTACACTATCACTAACATATGCAAGAATGACCTACTCAAACGGACATCTAGGCTGAAAAGAAGTTCCATTACATGGAATAATAATCACAAGAAATATAACGTTATATATAAACGCAATTAACTCCGTTACCGTGGTAGAGTTACGCTGCAGCTATAATAGGATCACGCTCTCACTGAATACCAGCGTGATATAGCAGTTTAATCCTGCTGCTTTGTATAGTGAGTGTAGTGAACCGGAGGTACTTCTTAACATCGTAATCCGTGATAACGCATATCTGCATTCCGATACTTAATCGGTGATAAATGTAGACACCTGTGGGCCACAGAATCCAAATACCATCCAAGTACCAGGTGGACCGATACACATGATAAGACCAAGATGCCTTTAAAATAACTTTTTAAAATGTTACTGTTACCTTTCCAGCCTATTAAAGTTCATTTGTAATAAAAAATATAGCGCTTTTGTTGAACTTTAAGATATCCATACATTTGGTAGATTGTTAAAATAAATTTAAGATTGGTCTCAACAAACAAAGACTATCATATTCATAAGTGATTTTCAGCTTTATTTTGTGTCATACGATGCCACTTTCGCTAAATAAAAAATAAATAACAAATTTCAATTGAAAATTAAATAATGATTTCTTATATTTAAGCGAACACTACACATTTAAATAAAACTAATTTTACGGACTTTATCGCGTATATTAACTTATTTTATATTCCCGACGTTTCGAGCACTAAAGACATTAGTTGAGAACTTTATTACTTAAAATAATATTAAAAATGTATACCCATGGCACCGTAGAATAATTGGTTTGGGATCACGCCAACACTAATGGATTGCGTATTATATATTCTAATAAAGTTCCTAAAGTTCATTTCATTCTTGTTATAGTAGTTTTCATGTCTTCTTGCTTCTCATCATGGCAAAGGCTGCGGTCAACCTGTATGTTTGCGTTGTAAGAAAATCTATCAGCTCATTTCGCGCCATGGGTGTCGTAAGAGACGACTATCTTATGGTTTCTATCTTATGGCTACTATTTCACATTCAATTAAATTTCATTTGGTATTCATCCTTCTATGTATCTATTTTGCAGCCTATCAAAAATCCAGCGCTGATCATAGTCTCTCCCCTCTTGCATCATAATATGGATATTTGCGTAAGTTGCCACGTTTTCTGGCATTTTGCAACACCAGTAGCAGTTTTTTAATATTTTAGTTATTAGCAGGAAGATGTTTCTGTATGTAATGATTGTATGACATAATGCCTGAAAAATACGGCATGACCCCAAACCTTAACGGGTAAGAGAAGTATTTCCTCCTCTGTGACGGGTAGAGGCTTTGCAGAATCAACACTGCTAAAACGTAATCATCTCGTTGCAGTCATTCAGAGTTTCATTCAGAGGCGTCAGCTATTAATCGGGCTATCTTTAGTTCTAGTAAAGTTAGGATCGAAGTCGATCTCTGTTTCATTTCCTTCTGTTACCTCTCATTATACCCACGGAAAGTTATGAGGTAGTGATTTCCCTTATGCCACCAATATACGGCAACGGAAAGCATTTAAGATAACTCTGAAAATATGTCTTTTTGATTGTTAACGTTTAAGGATTTATTAAGTTTAAAAGTCAGAATCAAAAAATATAATTAGTTCTGTAACCATTATTTTAATATATTAGGTTAAGGTTGTTATTGAATACAATTTTAATTAAAAATAAATTTCGTTAATTTCTTAAAAATGCAAACTGTAGCAATATTACAGTGTAATCAGCAATGAGACGTCCCAAACGTAAAGGCAATGCAGCGTCAATAGTAAATATTCCGTAGATCTTTAATTTTTCAAACTGCACTTTGTAAAGACGCTGTATGTTCTTTAGAAATCTCCGAGCATCCCCTGTTAATAACAATTGGTGTTTATTAATATTTAATAGAACATATAAGAAAGAACAATATTATAGACATACATATACATATATTTGGTCTTTACCTATGAAGTTGCCGTTTTTTATGAAATAAAAAAACACGAAGTCAAAGTCAAAGACAAAGTCATCGTCCATGCAATCGATTCATCTTTGCCAACACAGTGGCAGTTTGTTAATATCCTTTTTAAGAAATCACAGTCGTAGTCGTCGTCAACGTCACAGTGGCAGTTAGTTTTAAAACTAACTGCCACTGTGCAGCGTGCTGCAGCTATATTAGTAGTATAGTTGTAGCACGAATGGGTCGGCTCGACCGGGGAAGGACCACACTCTCACAGAATACCAGCGTCAAATAGCAGTTTAACACTGCTGTGTTTCGTATGGTGAGTGTAGAGAACCGGAGACCCTTTTTACTCGAAAAGAGGCATTCCATCTTAGTCCTCACGAGTGACAACGCATCTGCATTTTGTTTTGCAAACGAAGATAAATTTAGATGTCTATGGGCCACAGCAACCACTTACCATCAGGTGGACTGTGTGCTCGTTTGTCACTCGATCCTATAAAAAAAAATCAGCTATGCGGGAGACAACGAATTCGTCAAATGCCTTGTACTGCCTGTACTATACTCGCGTATATTGCATGCCTTAAGCGCAAAGGGCGTAGGTATGTTCTACTAGCGCCTAAAAATCAAGATTCCAACATTTCGTCGCATAAAACCGTATCTCACAATAATATTGAACATATTAATAATATAAAAAGCACATTGTCACAAAGATAAATGATTGTTGAACTTATAATTATTTTTTAAAATCGATTAATTGCTATTTTTACGTAAAAAAGTGGTTGAGGTGGCTTATGGTGTAGATTTATCAAGTCCGCATGAAGTGATAAAAACGATAACTTTTGAAAATATCTATTGTTTAACTCAATCTATTTTTAATTTCTTCATCTATCATGTGGGAAGCCATGGAATGTATATGAGAGTTTCATTTTGTTTTGTTGGTTATAATTACGTTTTAGGCTGCGAAATGTCGAAATTTTCGGTACTTTAATAGCCTTGAATTAATAAATTTAAGTAAATAGACTGCCTCACTCACTCACTTGTCACTTCGACGTTAACCGTTGTCGTGAGTGGATACTGTATCGGTTGTTTGCAGCAGCTCAAAAAGATCGCTGTACAAATATTCGAAAACCAAGTTTCATACATACTTGATTATTATAATAATCGGATATTTTTATTAAATATTTTAAAAGCACAGAACAAATAATAGTAGTACGTACTCAAAGTAAGCAGGATGTATATTTTTATACTTAAATACGTCTTGGAATTTATAGAGTGACCTAAATGATGATATGATGATCATATGAGCATTATGAGCATTATGAGTCGTGCACTTTTGGAATTTCCAAACTTTTTTTTAAAATTGAATTTTGACATAAAATTATTGGAAAATTGGAAGTATAATAAGGTTATTAGTGAAAACTTGGGTGTATTTAAACTACTTTAAACATATTCCGTATAATAATGTTATACGTAATTTTTTTGCACAATTAGATTTACCAATAATTAATTTTTTCCCGCCAAAAAGTTATCCGAATTCTGAAAAAAACAGAAGCCTGTAGGCGCAAAGTCTGGTGACTACGGTGGATGACGGAGCGTCCAACCCCAGCTCTTGTAACTTGGAAACCGTCTGTTGTGCAGTATGAGGTCGTACGTTGTCGTACAGGAGCAGCGGGGACGAGTGATTCATTAAAACTGGATGGAGACGTTCGAACTTCTTCATCCTTGTTTTCAGTTCTGCATAGTACACACCTGCAGTAGCTCTTATTCCGTTCACTAAGAAACTGTGATGAATTACACCTGTGCTAGACCACCAAACAGGGACCATCACTTTTCTAGGGGCAAGTTTTCGTTTAGGGCATTATTTAAGTGCTTAACCAGGATCCAACCAAAATAATCCATTTTTCGTCGCAGGTAACAATGTGGTTCAAAATTCCTTCATTTGTGTGCCTTTTCAACAGTGCAAACCACGTCACAACGCGTACTTTGCGCTGGCGATTATTGAGTTCGTAGGGCTCCTATTTGTCAAGTTCTTTTACCATTCCAATTTGACGTTAATGGCCTAATATTGTTTGATGCTAACGTTGAATATTAATTCAGTCGTAGATTGAGTATCATAAGCTTCCGTTATCGCGATTAATTCGTCATTGTCGACCAAAGCTTATGGACGACCACGGGTTCAATTTTCAGGTCGAAATTTCCAAAAAAGAAGCGGATAAAGCAGTACTTGGTGGTGCGTTCGTTTGTAATATTCGCTCCGTAAGCGTTGTTGATGTTGCGTGCCGCTAGTGCCACGTTGCTGCTCTATACTCATATTCCATAATTACTCGAATTTTAACATATCCACGATGACGAAAAATATTCAAATGCGATGGAAACATAACGCTAATCAATAAACAAATAACTAATTATGAAAATATAATTTCATGTTTTAAAAATAAAATCAATTTGAAATTAGAATTCTTAGCCAAACAAAAATTATTTTGATTTGAATTTGGACATTAATGCAGAACGGCAATTTCATAGGTAATACCTATTATTAGAACAATATTTTGAATACTATATCCATAAAAAGTTCTATCGTAATTGAATGAAAGATGTAGAGACACACAGGAAATGAACAAACAAATATTCATTTTTGTCAGTAACCTTCGCAGGCATGCACCCAATAATTCACTCAAATTTAAGAGCCGTGCTAGCTCAAGAGGTAAGCGCTCACTTCAGTTCGATTCCCGCCGACACCAATTAATCAGCACTTAAAATTGCTATTTACAATTAATTGCAATTTAAGTGCTGATTTACCACGTGCTCGGTGGTGTAGGAAAATCACGAGGAAACCTACATGTCTGAGAAAAAAACATTTTGAAGATAACATGCGAAGTTCGCCAACATGGCGGACATTAATCCTTAAGACCTTCTCAAAAATGACAGGGGGCCTGTTACCAACATTGGGACGTATATAGACAATAAATTTAACTTTATTTTAATAAGATGAATGGTTTAGGATCACATGGAGAAACAAAGAAACATTAATTTTTATTAAAATACTATACAGCATTTTCAGAATTTAAAAAATTTTCACATTATGTAAAAATGAATGTCAATAAATTATTAACTTGAGAAGGTATGCATTGAGTAGCTATAACTCCTCGTATCTAGGAAAGCACGTCAAGCCGTTGGTCCTGCATCTGGTCTCTCTTCGATCCTGTTGAATTGTTGCCCAATCCAATTTTGAGAGTAAGGGGAAACTGTAAGTGTGATGCGTGCACACTCGTGCACTATAATTCTATCCTACACAGATGGCTAGACTCTCTTAAGACATTATAGGACTTTTTTCTCCTAATTTTCTTATCATTCCAAATATTTTAAAATTATTTATTTAAACTGCTTACCTGTCTTTCTTTGAAGTTTGCCGCAGGTGTCCATGAACTGTAATATCCATTTACCATAAGGCGAACTGTTAGTTCTTTTATTATTTCAGATTTTAAACAAAATATGTATTTGTCGGAGCGTCTATAAAATATCACTTGGATCAAGGTGGAAATGAGGGTATATTGAGAAACCCCCAATTGTTTGTGCAGTATAAAGTTCACTGTAGGTGCCGTGCGCGAGAGATTCCGCTTAAGTCATTCTACGAGTGTGGTCATTCTACTAGTGCTAAGACAGTGTTGTGGTTCTGTTTGTTGTGATTATTCTTCTAGTGCAGGCAAGGAGGATTGGTGTTACTGAGAAGCTGCCCTGTGTGATAAGTAGTGTTGATGTTGGTTTACATATTTTGGTGTTATCATGTAATTACGTACTTCACGTTACCCTGGTGTGTGATTGTGGCGGACACGTGTTGCGGTGTGGTCGAATTGTAATTTCACTATACTGAATGTATAGTGCGTTACGTTATCTTATTACCGATAAAGATTAATTGCGTAGGCACGAGAGCAAGTTGGACATCCGCTCTCACACTTTTATTATTTTTAACAGTTAACCTGATGCATTTCCGAGATCAAAATTGGGATCCTCTGTTGAATTCTCCGACACAAAAAGTGGGGTCTCCTGTTGTCATTTCCGATATATTCATATTTTATTGTTATCTTTTTCATATTGTACATTCTCTTGGCGACCATATATATAATCATAATTAAGGAACCAGTGTTTTAATGAGAACAGATATATGGAAATAACTTACGGCAACTATAGTAATTTTTAAGAGTAACAGCAAGAATTTGAGTAGACACTATCCGTCGGTAAAGCATTTCGCAAACGATGCAAAATGTGGTTTCAGTTAGCACTGCTTTCGATATCCAAATACCTACTCCAAATGCGTGGCTAGTCACTGCTACTGGTTCAATCTTAAAAAATAAATAATTAGTCTCTTATCCAAAAAAGTTAAATAGCAATGTTTATAATTATAAACACATGAACAGAATCCTAAAAATCCTAAAATAATATATAACTACCAACTAACCAGTTTTATTTTAAAGGTTATGTACTAGTGCACCAATGGAGATTGATACATATAGGCACATAAACATTGTTTTGGTGATAAAGTAAATGTTCTAAATTGCTTGTCGCTACCTTTGCAGTGTTTTACTTACCATTAAGTAGATAGATTGGGATGAGGATCATACCTACTCAGCACCACGTATTAGTAGATACTTATATCCAACAGCGGACTGCAACCGTTTCATAATGATGAAGTTGTGATGGGGTTTTGAGTAAACGTAAATAAAACAATACTTTTTTTCTGTAGTTGTAGTCTCAAAAACACAATTCAAAAAACAAAAAAGAAGTGAACTAAGCTGAAAGACAGATTTTCTTTACCTGTTAAGAAATAATACGTGGTAGAGACATGCTGCAGCTATATGAGTAGTATAGTTGTAGCACGAATGGGTCAGCTCGACCGGGAAAGAACCACACTCTCACAGAATACCAGCGTCAAATAGCAGTTTAACACTGCTATGTTTCGTATGGTGAGTGTAGAGAACCGGAGACCCTTTTTATTGGAAAAGAGGCATTCTATCTCAGTCCTCACGGGTGACAACGCATCTGCATTTTGATTCGCAAACGAGGATAAATGTAGATGTCTATGGGCCACAGCAACCACTTACCATCAGGTGGACTGTGTGCTCGTTTGTCACCCTATCCTATAAAAGAAAGTAATTGCCATATGAACAAAAAAAAATTGATTACGAAAATGATTACTATCATTAAGCCATTATGGTTTTATGCAATAATTACCTATGCATTTTTTTTATATATAATTTATTAATCCGAAGTTCTAAAAATAGTACACTAACATGAAAATAAATTGCTTAGTTGGCTTAATATGCGGTACAAATTTTATAACTAAAAAACAACAAAAAGTATGCGGTACAAAATCTGCTGTTCACCTTTATGTTTCTTGTTGTCATACATTTTATGCTTCTATTATTTTAAGACTTTTTTTCACTTACCATTCGAAACACAGTAATATTTAGCTGCCATTTTACACTGGTATTCTGTTTTATCCGTGGTTCTTTACCGATACTACTAAAAGCACAATATGGCTGTAGTAAGGCTCTACCAAGTTAAAAACACCATGTAATGTCATGCTTCAAAGTAATCTATTTATTCGCTTGATAAAGAAGTAAATTTATTTCATGGCTGCAGAAGCAAAAGATTTTTATGGTGCGTTTATTGTGCACTGTTTAATGAAATAATGGTCTGCGAGAGCCTCAGTGGCGAAAGTTGTTGTCCCTTTGTTCAGATGTATTCAGACAGGCTGTCTTTTTCAAACATAACGTTTAACAATTTTGTCAGTCATTGACATTTGACTAAAAGTCTAAGCATTTAGTGAAATAGCGACTTTTAACTAATATTATGGCCTTCCAAACGACCGGCTGATTAAACTATTTGGCTGCGATATTATGATTGCGGAATGATTACTTTTGATACCATATGTACCTTAAATATTAACATTTTTGTCATTGTACGTACCCTTTGATTTTGAGTCATCATAATCAATATTTCAATGTAAGTCAATGATTGTATAAAGACAATCACTATATGGAGCAATGTCTGTAATAAAAAAATTCTTGATTATAATTTATTGTAAAAAAAAAACTAAAAAAGCTAAAAACTTTTTCTTATTTATCCGTCCACGCTTAGTAGGCGGAGTTTAATTTTTAAGTTGATATTTAGAATACGCTGCAACCTATCTCCTGGTTTTTGCCCTCTGTCGTCCCTTACAACACTCACGGGGCGATATGGGGTAATGGGTATTCTTATACCGCGACTATACAGTCCATATCACCTCTAAGAAGCAATGTATGAGGAGACCCATGGTCAACAGTAGATTTTTGATAAAATCTTATGAATAATAATAAATATTTCCTAAACATTAACAGGCTACCACCAATGTAGGAAGGATTTTTCCCAATCGCCTCGTATTGTAAGCGTTATGGCGGTCTCATACAAGATTTTTTTTATAGGATATGGGTGACAAACGAGCACACAGTCCACCTGATGGTAAGTGGTCGCTGTGGCCCATAGACATCTACATCTATCTTCGATTAAGAGTCAAAATGCAGATGCGTTGTCACTCGTGAGGACTAAGATGGAATGCCTCGTTTCCAGTAAAAAGGGTCTCCGGTTCTCTACACTCAGCATACGAAACACAGCAGCGTCAAGCTGCCATTTTACGCTGGTATTCTGTGAGAGCGTGGTCCTTCCCCGGTCGAGCCGACCCATTCGTGCTACAACCATAATATAGATGCAGCATGGCTCTACCACGTATTATATTCTTGCAACTTGTATACAGCTATCCATTGTTAATGTTATGGTTTACTTATAACACATAAAGAAAATGAAACCACTATTTATCAGAAGATAATATAAGGAATTCCTCATGAGTTTATGTACACGATATTCAGAGACAATCGAGCTTAAACTCAAACTGACATTGCGAATGTCACACACATACAATCACACACTCTTACCCCTCCAATACACCATCAGCCATGATTGATTACCCTAGAATAGGGCATGTTTGTCCCAATCATTGCCTGTCCACACAATCGTGTATCCTACATATCCTGTCCGAGATGGACATTGAAACAGTTGCAGCTGCCGGTAGTAATTTCCTAATCAGTTTATATGTACAACCATTATTTAAATGTCCGCCTTAAAAGAGTGGTGAAAAAAAAAAGGATGCAAAAAGGTGTATTTAACTATGCAATGAAATAAAACAAGGTAATTTTATAGAGCATCGGCGATCATGTAGACGCGCGCACGATCATGACCGAACTTCCTTTATGATTGTCTGAAAAACCGACACAGCAGCCATTAAGCTTGCTCATCACCGATCATTATAGGCGATTATGCCCTCTACGCGATCGTGACCGCTAGTATTCGTCCATAATGGCCAATGGTGTATAGGGCCCAGTCCATGGACATATGCAGTCACATTCGAACAAAAAAGGCTACATATGCGTTGTTTTGCTGTAAGGTTTAAGATGGAATAACTTACAGCCTGTACTTATACTATCTGTCTATACCCTTCAGATGGAACACAACAGTGCAAGCCCTGCTGTTTGGTAGCATAAATAGGTAAGTGGGTGGTACATACCTAGAAGGTCAGCTAGGCAGAAAATTAGTCCTACCGGCACTAGTAATTTATTGTACATGCCGAACGATTTGCCCTGTTGCACGCTCGTCACTCAGTTTTTATTATGACCTTAATAATATGCGACTGTTATGATGGATAGTATAAGTTATGTTTAAAAACACTTGCATTATCTCTACTAACCGTAAACTGAACGGCTTCTTTCGTTAGTGCAATCGTATCTAATATTTCTTCATAAATATTAAATAACCTTTCAACCAACGTGATACCAATGTTATCCTGTAAAACATTTGGATTCCTCTCATCTACTTGCAAGATTTGTGACCACCTTTTTGTTTTGCACGCCAAAAAATACACGAAAAATATGGAATACGTAAGTTCAATATCGAAAATTAGAGATGTCACTATGAAAGCTCCTCGCACCCAATCCCACAGCGGATCGTATAGTATTTTAAATGTTACAAATAAAACATATGCTAATAGTAATAAAAAGCTTGTCATCCAGACTAGCAATTTAATTTTCTTTGTTTGATTAAAATCATATAGAGTACGGTCTATCGCTTGGAGTTTTAAGATCAGCTTGACATAAAACTTACTCTGGTAGAATGTGTAAATACTTAAAATCGTATAATTTACGGGATACTGAGAATATGCTATTATATAAGCATAGAAAATGTTTAAGTTATCATACATGTTGACAAGAGCACTTAAAGTTAAGAAGAGCAAATAAAATACTACAAACACTCCTAAAATTGAGAAAAATATATCTTTTTTGGAATAAGTAGTGACATTGTTTTCACTTAAATGAAACTTTTGCAAGCAAAACAAGCTACTTATTATATGTAACGGTTTTATAATAGACAAGAATTCTTTTTCCAACATTTTAGTACGAACTTCAATACAACGCTCGTGCGTGTAGCCGAATGGATAATTTTCTTCTTTTGGTAATATTGTAACAACTATCAAGGTTAATAAAAATGAATTATAATTCAGTAATTTCTTTTAACAATCTAATAAACCACTTTTACTAAAATAATTTAAAAAAAAATAATGCATTAAGAAAATTGCCTTCTATGTTATTTAGACCTACACAAAAAAGTAATACTAAAATTAAGTAATAGTAAGTAATTTTACGGCACAGCAACAAGCAGCTAGCAGCAACTAGGTCGGATCAGTCGCTCAGATCAGTCTTAATCTGTGTTGAAATAAATGTAGAGAACTTTTGTGTTCATAAGTTACCTACCTAATACCCTACTATAATTTATTTATTTTCATGTTCTTAATTTTATTCACATAGGCTCACTTACAAGCTCTAGGGAATAGTGAATTGAAAAAAAAAACATTGGAATAAGTAAAAATTTCAATGAAGGTTAAAATTTAAACATATATTACTGATAATCGTGGATAAAAATATGATACTAAAATAACATTTGTTGTGTAAAGTACTTTATGTGGAAATTGTCAACTTTCAAATGACTTGAAAGTTGAAATGAACGATGTCGAATGATACTATGTTTAGCAAAGGTGTTTTATGTTTTCACTCTTCTATAAATATTAAGGGTTGCCAAGATGAGTAGAACTCATTATCGCCAGCCTATCAAAAGTCCACTGAAATGAACATCGGCCGTAAATTGTCAAGTAGCTGGACATTTGCCATATTTGCCACGGTTGGTAGGCGGGTTGTCAACCGTAGTTATTATTATTTTGATCTGTTGTCAGGAAGATGATGCTGCCCATCTCCTGTTTGTTTTCCTATGTCGCCTATTACGACGGGACGATATGAAGTGGTGGATTTTTTTCACCGCCACAACAAGGTAAACATACTCCCGTTTATGGGTTTAGTGCTTCCCACGTTCACTGTGAATAAAATTTATGCGGAATAAAACTAATTTCAAGGATTTTATCGCATTTAATTTTAACTTTTGTTTTATTTATTTTTTTCAGTTTGAATTAATTGTTATTGATTATGGGGTCCATAGCAGATGGTAGCACTCAGCCATCTGCCTTATTAAAATTATAATGTATTTTTTTTAATTTCAATAGCCTCGCGAATCATTATTGGTAGGAATCTGTGTATCAGATCCAGTTTATTGGTTGAGATGATACTAAACATGTTGACATACTTCACTAAATATGTTTAGGTGTATCTAGGCATATATATTCACGTGTTCCTGTAGCATATTATATCTATGCCAAATACCAATTAGTAAATTCAAAAAAAAAATTTAAAACATATAGACAAGGTAACTCCAAAATTGTTCGAACTTTGCTAAATTTGGCACGTAACAGCATTTAATGATGTTCCTAAATTCAAGCTCACACGAGCAAAGCCGCGGATAAAAATCTAGTTATTAATAAGTCTGTAACTTGCAGTTACGCGTATTGTTAGACAATTTGAGGTTCACATACCGACTTGTCAATGAAGTCTTAAGGCTCCAACTGAAAACCAGCATTATGCTGAGTTGTACACCTGTTTGATGACACATTTTAATTTTAAACAATTTTTCAATTTGTTACTTGTTTGTTTCATTATTAATTAACGATTTGCATGTACCGCTTATTAAATTTTTTAACGCGTAATTAGCCTTAGACGTGTGCAAACATATTTTTGCCCCTTGCATTTGTATATTTCTTGAATTGTGTATGACAGAACAGAACAGAAAGAGAAAAATGTAATATGTGTATATTAAATAAAAAGTTCTTACTTTCTTTCTTTCAAGTGGATGAGTTTAGATATTTGGGATGTGTTTTAGCAGAAATGGTAGATATGATAAGGTTATAGAACAACGAGTGTACGCAGGAAATAGAGTAAATGGGGCTTTTTCAGAATGTGTCAAAAAAGGCACGCATGAATTATCATGCGTTCTTTATTAGTCTTTGTATAAAACAGATTAATTAAAAATAATATAGTTATTAAATTAATTAATCATGCAGTATGATCATTAAGTGGGCACGATTAAAACGGATTTTTTGACATTTGACATTTCTGCGATTGGCATCGGCGCAGTCCTTCGTTGTAGCGTTTGTGACAACCCAATTAACCACCCCTGGACCTCAATATCGTTCTCATTTGACGAACATTGCTTACCATCCAATATATATAATATATAGTCCAAGGGGGAGGCGTTAGCCGTTAGTTTGGACATAGCAAAGGCTTTCAATCGGGTTTGGCACAAAGCTCTTCTTTCGAAGCTGCCTTTCTATGGGCTTCCGGAGAAATTGTGCAATTGGATCACCAGTTTTCTTGCAGATCGGAGCATCAAGGTCGTAATAGACATGATGCATGCCCCGATTAAAAGCCCATTAACGCTGGTGTTCCACAAGGATGCGTGCTATCACTAACGCTGTTTCTTCTGCATATCAATGATATGTTGCAAACCGGTAACATTCGTTGCTATTCGGATGACAGCACTCGTGATGCTCTATACACCGGCCGTGCCAATATTTGTTGTCCAGTATTAAGGCACTCCCCTTTTTGCCTCAGCCAGAATCGGAATCCTCGGTGTTGACATATCGAGTAATGTGCAGTTTCGTGGTCACTTGGAAGAGAACGTCAAATTAGCCTCTAAAAACTTGGCGTGCTCAGCAGAGTGGGACAGTATTTCATGCCAGCACACTGCTTGCAACTTTACAAGGCGTAGGTTCGGCTTCACATAGAATACTGTTCCAATCTCTGGGCAGGGGCTCCCCATTGCCAGCTCCTTCCATTTGACCGCATCCAGCGCAGAGCGGTTCGAATCGTCGATGACCGAGTTCTTTCCGATCGGCTTGACTCACTAGCACTGCGTAGAGATGTTGCATCTCTTTGCGTATTTTATCGCATCTATCACGGGGAGTGCTCTGAGGAATTGTTGGGACTAATTTCAGCCGCTCAATTTCACCATCGCACATCGCGACATAACTCGCGATACCATCCATACCATCTGGATGATTGACGGTCCACCACTGTGCGATTTAGATGTTTTCTCCCTCGCACAACTTCCTTGTGGAATCGTTTACCAACAGCGATTTTTCCGGACCAATACGACATAGGGACCTTGAAGAAAAGAGCCTACTCCTTTTTAAAAGGACGGTAACGCATCCGCAATCGCCCTAGTGTTGCAGTTGTTCATGGGCGTCGGTAGTCACTCAACATCAGGTGAGCCGCAAGCTCGTTTGCCCATCTTCTACAAAAAAAACCATACCATTGTAAATCTGTCCTTTTGAAAATGCTACCGTTAGCAAAATGTCGACGTATACTTTGCATTAACTGTAATGTCTGCTTAAAATACGTTTTGACGTTATCTCGTTCATGAGCTCAACAAAAGACTTACTTCCTTACTTAACGAATGTATATCACCAGTAATCGTAAGTGTATATGCTTAATAAAGATATACTCGTACTTTGACTCATACAGTTTTGTCATGTTATTTCATGCTTCGTTTTGAATTCTTTGCTTGTTGTTTTTTATTAATTTGGAACCTTTTGTCCAACATATGCTGCTAACATTAAGCTATTCCATTAAATCTAATCAAAAGAAGTTTATATTGTGGTCTCTAATTGAACTTCTTACGAGAAGCATAAACCAACAATTAACAACAAACTGTGATGGTGCTCAGGCTTCAGGGCCATCTCAACCAGGTCGAAGACAAGTTGTGCAGTATTTGCGGAGGGTCAACACTTAATTGTCAAAGCCATTATATTGTTTTTGACAATCCTTCAGAAAAGCAAAGACAGATAAATGTTGTTGTACAAACAGAATTGCACTACATCAGCTATTTATGTTTTTAAATTAATCATTATTTGCTAGTATAATACTTCGTACTGTAACTAGATGACCACTCTGTTTTGTATTCTGGACAGAAATCATTATATCTGTTAATTATGGATAGATGCTATAATAATTTTAGTTTTCGTAGATATCATTATCTGACAGGATATGCCATTCCTGCTGGATGAGTTGTAAGCGTAATGCCATGCGTATTGAGCAAGTTGATAAAGTTCGTCGAGTTTCTACTACTGAAGAAGTTGGCCTTGAAACAGATGACTCTGAGCCAATTACTGCTCAACCAGTTAATGAAAGTCTAGAAGTGCCTTCTGATCTAATCTGCACAATATGGCAGATTCATTTAGAGCCAACGATGCTCAGTACATGTAAATATTATATCCCTATGCACAGCCGTGTCTTTACAGAATATAGATCGAGTAACGATTGGAGTGATCTGTGTGATTCGAGTAATAGTATGAGTACATTGACTTCACAATAAGTAGAACACATTCTTTTCATTTGGTAATGCTTTCAAGCCTACCTTAATTTGACAAATATATGTCAAATTAATGTGTATATATAATAATGACTGGACGGTCCAGACATGGCTTTTTCACCCTTCTTAATGAAGTTCCTCGCATACAAGGAATATACAAAGGCATTTTGGGATTAGCTGCATTGTTAATAAAAATTTGTAAGTACTTCTGTGTGCTAGATAAACAGGAGACAGTGCTTGACACTCAATTTATAAGGA